CTGAGTAATCCCAGCACTCAGGAGGCAGAGGCAGGAGGATTTCTGTGCATTTACACCTAGCCAGAACTAAATAGACAGATTGAATCTCAAAATACCACCACCACCAATATAACAAAATAAATATTTTATTATAATACATATAATAAAATTGTATTATAGAATATACAATAATAATAAATACATAAAATTAAATGAAAGAAAGCTAGGTGTGGAAGCATCCATCTATAATCCTAGCATTCAGGAAACTGAAGTCTGAATAAGCCAAGGGGAGGGTTTTAGGTTACCCTGAAAATACACATTAGGGTCTTATCTATCTCAAAAAATAAAGTATGAACCACAAGTTACTAAGGTTCTACTCTCACCCTGCTCTTACTTTCTTGTCTCTTTAAAATATAACTGATATTATTATAAGCCTTTTAAAAATGGCATGGTCTCACTGTTGCCAGTCTGTTTTTAAAATCCCAAGCTCAAGAGATTGTTCAGCAAAAATAAATTGAAAATAAAAACATCCACCCCAAAAACATCTTTCTGCTTAAGACCCAGAGTAGCTGGCACTATATAAATGTGCCAGCCTAAGCTACACAGCAAAACCTTGCCACAAAATGCAAAATAAAAAAATAAGATTCAGGTGGTAGTGTATCCCTTTAATCCCAGGACTCAGGAGGTAGAGGCAGATGGATCTCTTGTGGGTTCAAGGCCAGCCTGATCTACAGAGCAGGTTCCAGGGCAGCCAGGGCTACACAGAGAAATCCCATGTCAAAGTAACCAAACAACGACAACAAGAACAACAAAGTGACATAATTAAAAATATAATAGAATCTAAATCTTTGAAATCAAGAAGCTCAAATCTGTACAGTTTAAATAGGTTATCAGATAAAAATTACATTTCCAGCCTTTACTCCCAGCACTCGGGAAGCAGAAGCAGCTGGATAGCTGAGTTCAAATTTGGCCTGGCAGACAGAAAGAATTCCTGGACAGTAAGTTCTACACATTGAGAAACAGTGTCTCAAATAAAATAAAAAATAAGGGAGACCTGAGTGACATGGAGCTGCCTGGAGCTCAGCACTTACCCCTTTCCTCGTGAATCAGACCCTCCCCCCTCAAATATTACATTTTGAAAGACTTTGTTGGGGGGGGGGTGTTCGAGACAGGGTTTCACTGTAGTTTTAGAGCCTGTCCTGGAACTAAAGACTTTATAAAAATTTATTTAGTAGCCAGATGGTGGTGGCGCACGCCTTTAATCCCAGCACTCGGGAGGCAGAGGCAGGCGGATCTCTGTGAGTTCAAGACCAGCCTGGTCTACAGAGCTAGTTCCAGGACAGGCTCCAAAGCCACAGAGAAACCCTGTCTCGAAAACAACAACAAAAAATTTATTTAATTTTATTTTATGTACACTAGTGTGAAGGTGTTAGCTCCCCTGGAACTGGAGCTACAGATAGTTGTGAGCTGCCAGGTGGGTGCTAGGAATTGAACCCAGGTCCTCTGGAAGAGCAGTCAGTTTTTAACCCCTGAGTCATCTATCTAGGCCCTTGAAAGACTTTTTTGACACAGGAAACACAACAAAATTCTGATCGAGAAAGTACTGAATAACAGGGCCCTAGTTTTCTATCTTACCTCAAACTTCATAAACTTTCTAGAACATGCCCTTTGAAATACACAAAACACACTTTTTGTATTGAATTAAATAGAATAAACCTATCTTTGTGAAAAAGAAAATAAACATAACACTAAGAGTCACAATCCCAAAGCTAACTGGAAATAAAGCCAAAACTCCGCCCAAAACAAACAAACAAACAAGTCCCATGGATCCAATTCAGGGTATTTTCCACTGTATATTATTTAAGTTCAGTATTATTTTCTCATTTTCTAATACTGTCTGTCTCCTTGAATTGACATGTACAATGACCTTAAACAATGCTAACAAGTTATATAATACTATTAACAGATTACCCCAGAGATAAAATTTAAGAATCGCCAGCTTATCATAATCTTATTGCCTCAAAATAACAAGGGCACTTTACCTTATTCATCTTTTAGTGCCTTTTTTGAGGTGGGTAGTCTCAATATACAGCGCAGGCTGTCCTAGTACATGTTACCTTCTTGCCTAACTTTCCCAAGTACAAAAATTACAAATGTATATCACTGTATGATATCTATTCATCTCTAGATTCTCAAACAAAGTGTAGTTTCTTGGCACCTATTAGGTACTCAATAAATGTTTATCTTCTAAAACATAGCCGTTTCCCTCTTGCTAGCACTTGCTACTAGATTTAACTGTTAAATCAAGCAAAAACAGTGAAATCTCACTATGTTACATTTGGAGTTATCAATCATTAGATACAAGAGGATAGGCTAAATTAATGCACAACATGAAGGGGGAAAATTTATGTTAAAATTCTAAGTGCTATACTAAACTAACTGGCATATTAATTATATTGCTTGTCCACTGAAATGTCTGACTAACCTTTAGCCAGCATTATTTTGTTGCCTTATCTGGCCTCACTGAATGAAAGCAATAAACTACAAGTCTTCTAGACTAGAATGTAGAGCCCAATCCAAAGTCTGCTAATATAAGCAATATAACACTGAGCAATTCATTTTTTCATCTTTGGATCCTTATCAGCCTGTCTGTGAAAAAGAGAATTTCATACTGGGGATGTGTGCAGTCTTACCTGTTCTTTTTAAGTTCTAGGGACTGACTACAGGGCCTAGTGAATATTATGCAAACATTCTGTACTGAATTAGAATCCCAAACTCTTTGAAGCATTTATCCCCAATCCAAAATATTTACCATTTTAAAAACTGCATAATGTGAATGAGGTTGGTAAATATGGAAAAAAGCAAACACTTAAGTACCAAATAATGCAATACTATATAAAAATATTATTGATTATGATTCTGTTTGTACAGTCTGATACATCCACAGCTGGCTGTGAGCTCATGATCCTTTTTCTATCAAATGCAGACATTACAATTGTGAGCATTGACTCTCTTTATTTTATAATTTTATGTGTATGGGTGGCTTGCATGCAGTGCCCAAGAAGGCCAAAAGGGGGCACTGAATCCCCTGGGATTGGAGTTAGAGTTGGCTGTGAGAAACCGTGTGTGTGTGTGTGTGTGTGTGTGTGTGTGTGTGTGTGCGCGCGCGCGCGCGCGCGCTGGGAATAGAACCCAGGTCCTCTGGAAGAGCAAGCTGTCAGGAAGCTTAAACACTGAGCCATCTCTTCAATCTAACTTTGTTTTTGAAGCAGGGACTCACAATGTAGCCTAGGTTGAACAAGAATTTGCAGTTACCCTGCACTGTTTCCAGTGATTAAGCTGCCAAGTCTGGCTTTCCCCCTCCCCCTTTCTTCTATTGGTATATATTCATTGTACAAAACAATGTTATATTTCCACATATTATATAATGTACTCTGGTCAACTTTTAACCTTTTCTTTGAGATGTTCAAAATCAAACCCAGAGCCTTGTACATGGTAAGCAAGCACTCATTGTACCACACTGAGCTACATCTCCCAATACAATCTTTACATGCTCAAAATTTTTAAAAAAATAATTGTAATTCAGAAAGACCATGTGACTCAGATTTATCTACATGTAAAGTTTGATATCTGAATTCTACAGTTTGCTACACAATTTGATAATCAGGAAGCCTACCATAACCTTTTTACCATTTCACATGAACAGGGGAACAATAAGTGATAGTCAAAAGAGAAACATAAATACCCAAATAATCAAACCTGCTCTGTTAAGACAACATAAGCCACACATTATTTTATAGTATAAATCACTGACATATGACTAGATATGGCAATAAATACCTATTCCAAATACTTATGCTGATACCCAGCTTTGTATACTTTAAAACTTTTTAGTAATAAAATCAAAACTCATTTATAGCAAGACATTCAAACATACATTTAAGGCACAGGAGAAAAGCAAAGAGAAAAGCTTTCCATCTCTCTTCTTCGAAGTATCCAGTGTTAATCACTTTTCCCATGTGTCTTTCAAGGATCCAGGGAACCCAGTCCAAGAAGACACAAACTTAGGTTTTTGTGTCTGTCAGAATTCTGTTTGGCCTAAGATGTTTTCTGTTCTTAAGTAATGGGGGAAAACAATCCCAGGCACAATCTTTACACATATGTTCAGTACATACATGTTCAGTTCACTGGGAAAGGTGCAGGCGCCAACATGAAGTAGTATTACGCAGTACAGAAATGTTACAAAGAACAGAGTTAGATTTTGTACTTAGAGGATATATGAAGCTACAGGAGCAAGGTGGTCAGGAGCCACGGAATCTGAGTTCTAATCTTGTAACCTTAGGCAAGTCATGAAACCCTGAGCCTCAGTTTCTGTTTTGTAGAGCGAAGGATTGAGCCAACTCTAAAAGAATCATAGCTGATTCTAAGATGGCCGGTTCTTAATAGTGTTCTCTTGAACTGGCCACCAAAAAAAAAAAAAAAAGTATTAAGGAGAAAAGAACGAAGAATACTATAGCAACCCCCAGTTTTACAAGATTAAATCTCAATGACTCCTTCGTTATCAAGGCACAGATGTGATGATTGGCTCATTATCAAGATACGGATGTGATGACGGAAGTAGTGACATAATTGTGCTTGAAGGCACAGTAGTAGATTAATAAAATCTGGCAAGTTTGTTCTTCCCAAAGTTCCCGTGAAAACGTCTTCCTTTCTGGAGAGCCACTGCAGGCACCATTGCCCTCCCTTAGAAGAACAACACCTCCCCAACTCAAGCAAACTGTGGAGTTACAATAATGAAACTGAAAGTCAATTTGACATTTTTCTTTCAGAAACCATGCAGGGCAAGTGACCAGGGGTGGCAAGAATGATCAGCTATTTCCTCCTCTGGAAGCTCTTTGGCCCTCATTCTTCTGGTTTCGCACAGCCTTGCCAGAAACACACTCTCCTGCCCCATACGTGAGACTGGGGGGGGGGGGGATAGGGAGGTTGATCACCTTTTTTTTTTAATTAACTAGATTTACCTTAGGTGTCACGAAGTTTAAGGAGGCTGACCCGAAAGCTTGGAGCCGGCCACCCTACCCACGGCTTCCAGGATCAATCCCGGGAACTTTGGACAAGGAGCCCAGTCCAGCATTCCCCGCGGGCGGGCGGGTGCGGCCTTCCCGCCCAACTAGGCAGAACAAGCCCAAGCGGAAGGGAGGGGGAAGAGGATGAGGGCGGGGAGGAGGAGGAGGGAGGAGAGAGGAAAAGGAGGGGAGGGCGGGAAACCCACAAGAACTGTACCCACCGACCGAGTGAGCCCGTCCCAAGCACCGTGAGCGACCGTTCCCGAGGGGAGGGTCCCGGAGGAGGGGCAGCCCGAGCTGGATCAGGAAAACCTAACTCCGCTGGGCGGCAGGCCGCGGCCTAGGAGAAGGAAACGGAAATCGCTACGACTCCCTCCCTCGGCCTCCACAGGCCGGACAGTCCTCTCAGAGAAAACTCGGGACCGGAACCAAGTGCGTGCACGTCAAAAAAGCCGCCGGGTGCAGTCCGCCAGCTTTCCAGGCCAGCCCAGCCATTGGCCTAAGGCCATGTCCTTCCCACCTCCCCCCCCGGGGAGCTCGGCTCCCGCCCGACAAAGCCCCTCCTTCTTTTCCGCTCCGCCATTTTCCAACCTACCGCTCGGGCCCGAGTGGCCCTCGATTAGCGTCGCGCCCGCTCGGGCGACCGCCAACGTCCCGCCGCTTCCCGGAGCCGGAAGGGGGCATAAAGAAAAAAGCCAGTCCTCCTCATTATGCAGCCCGACCCCCCCCCCTCTCCCTCCCCTTCTCTCCCCCCCCCCCTCCCCCTCCCTCTCTCTCGCTTTCTCTATCTCCCTCCCCCCCCCCCCCCCCCCCCCCCCCCCCCCCCCCCCGCTCCAAGCCAGACCCTGACCCAGCGGGCGCACATGCGCACAGGTCACCTCGCAGTCCCCGCCCCCAACTCATGCGTTTCCTCTTTTAGCATCTAGCATCTAGGACCTTTTTTTCTCCCTCCCCCCCCCATGGTCTTTACTTGGACTTTAGGGTGAGGAGTAGGGGAATACAGGTAAGAGGATTAAAATCCGAGGGAGAAGGGTCAGAACATTCTGGTTCCTTACTGGATACCAAGGACTTTTATAACGTATTCTTTGTTGTTATTTTGTAAAGCCTAAATGTCAGGACACCCCTATTAAACTCCCTGTCCGGGGGGGAGGGGGGACTGAGACCTAGAGAAAGTGAGAGATGTTTGATTTGCGAAGAGAAAAGAAAAGAAAAGAACGAAGATGGAAAAGAAACACGAAGAAGTCTTTGTACACAAAATGATGATCATGCCCCTAGGTTATTCAGATATGTATGCTTGTAGGGTCAGAGAAACGTGAATTTAGGTTTCAGGAATGTGGGCACTTGGTGGCTAGTGTAGTAAGATGGATTCTGAATCTCATTTCCAAGATCATGAGTACCATCTGCCTGGTTAAATAATGCTGCCTTTGATGAAAAGGAACTTGGAAAAGAAGAAGAATATTTTTGGCCCTTAAACTTTTACTAACGTAAAACCTCTTCTGATGCCATCTTTTTTTTTTCTTTTAAATAACTACACTGATTTAGTGTGTGAGGCTAGAGGACAACTTGGGGAGTCCTTTCACTCCCAGCACGTGGGTTCCAGAGATGAATCCAGGCCCTGGTGTTACTCTTAGAGCGCTGAGGATTCCATCTGACCTACTGTGATAATAGTAATTGCCTGCAAAGACTGGGGATGAAACTCAAGTGGTGGAGCACTTGTCTAGTGAGGTCTGGGATTCCAACCTTATCACTGCCAAAACAAAACTGTAAACAAATATTTACCTTATTTTTCAGAGCACTTTTACTTAAATATAAATTAGTAACCTCGCCCCCCCCCCCTTTTTTCTTTAGATGAAAATCTTACCAAGCCACCTTCAGTTTCCTTGAGAAAAATCAGGAGTTCAAGGTAGCAAGTTTGAGTCCAGCCTAAGATGAATGGGACCCTGTCTCAAAACAAAACAAACAAAAATTCACCTCAAGCGACCCTTCTTTGTCTTTATAGTAAGTTGGTCTGTCATCGCCACATTTTAAAAAGGCTGAAGTAATTGTGCTAGGCTGTGTTATTCAACCCTGGATCATCTGCCCAACCATCACCCAGGCGGATTTCTCTGGTCTTAGGCTTGTCCCACTTCCCCCAGTCTAGCTTTCAAGAGGCTGAGTTAAATCCTTCCATTCTGATGTCAGGATAAGATTAAATCCCCTTAGCCGTGAGTTCAAGCTCCCCTATGACAATGTATAGTGGCCTCTAAGAAAACTACTTATCATGCCCTGGCTCTCTGGCCTTCCGGTAATTTATTGAAACTAGCTCAACAGAAGCAGTGCCTTCTCTAACCCCCTTACCTGAAGAATGTTTTCTCATTTTCTGTTCTTGTTTATTCTTTGAACTTAAAGTGTTTTTTAAGAGTCTTTATTGTTGTTTGGGGCTTTTGTTATTTTGTTTTTTGAGACAAGGCCTCACTAAATAGCCCAGGCTGTCTCAGAAGTCATTGTGTAGGCCAGGCCAGCCTGAAACCAGTGATCCTTTTAAGTGCTGGCTTGGGTTTTTTGCTTCAAGGTCTCATGTGTCTCATGTTGGCTGTAAACTTGCTATGTGGCCGAGGAAAACCTGGGGGTATTGGAGTATTGTGATTGACGCACCATGCCTGGCTTTATTTTGTGAGGCAAGGCTGTGCTATGTAGCCTTCTCTGGCTACATATTCCAAGCTGGGCTCAAACTCATTCATGGCAGTCCTCTGCCTCCACCTTTTGAGTGCTGAGATTATACATTCGAGATTATATCCCGATCAGGTAGCATTGTTTTTATTGTAAAGCGTACACAAATTTACTATTTTAACCATTGTAAGTGAAAGAAAATGAGCACATGACTACTCCAAGGTATGGCTGAAGAGGAGGATTCAGTCAGAGGCATCTGGGAGGGCCAAGGCTGAACTAGGCCACGAGAGAGCGGGCAGCAAGAGAGGAAGAGAAGAGAAAGAAAAAAAGGAGAGGGGCAAGAGAATCAAGAGAGAAGCCAAGGACCAAGAGTACTCTTGGAGAAAATGGCAGGTTTCTATAGGAATGAGAAGCTGGGGGAAGGGAAGCAAAGGTCAGTCCCTGGACAGGAAAGGTTCAGAGTAGGGAGTGGGGGGGGGGGGGGAAGAAGTGCGGGGTGGAGCCATGGGTTCTGTGAGTGAGCCTTGTCCTGGGTTTCTTTGGAATCTGGCAGGAAGTACATAGTTCAGTGGCATGGCGTCCATTCCTGTTATTGTGCAACCATCACACTGTCCATTTCTAGAACTTTTCCATCTCACTTCATGGTGAAAGTCAGTGCTTTGTTACAGCGCGCAGTGCGGTATGTCACACAGTACGGCTGCTTATATAAATGTCTCATCTCTCCGATGGAGTAAGCTCATTTATGGGAAGATCTATGTCAAACTCATTTTTGGAAAATCCTTAAAGTCATCTTTTACAAATTTTCGGTTTATTCACGGGAGCAGATGCCATGTCACGTGTGTAGAGGTCAAATGACAGCTTGCTAGAGTTGCCTCTCCCTCCACCATTTCGGTTCTAGGAATCAAAGTCAGGCTGCCAGGCTTGTTAGTGAGTCTCTTTACCCTTTGCTCCCTCTTGCTAGCTCTTCCTTTGTTGTTTTTCAAGACAGTCTTGTATATCCCAGGCTTATTACATAGCTGGAACTTTTTTTTTCTTATTAAGGTGTGTGTGAGAGAGATGTGTGTAAGTACAGGCTTGTCCGTTCCACAGGCACATGGCAGGCACGTATATGTGGGGGTCAGAGGGCATATTTCAGTAGTTTTCTACCTCTACCATTGCTTCCAGGAATCAAATTCAGGCTACCATGCTTGCAAGAGAGATGCTTTTACCTGCTGAACTCTCTGGTAGGCCCAACCTTGAATTTATCTTCCTTTCTCTACCTCCCTGTTGCAGGGATTATAGGTGTGTACTGCCATGCCCTGCTTATGCTGTGCTGGTGAACTGGGGACTCTGCATACTAGGTAAGCCTTCTCCCCACAGCTGTGGCCCCCAACCCCTGGACACATCTAGACCCTCTCATCTCACATCCAACCCACCAGGCAAGCTTGCCATTGCTCTCTTCAAATAGGTCCAGAATACCAGTTTCCATCAACGTCACCCCCCTCCTTCATCAAGTGCATCCCTCTCCTGGCTTGCAGTAGCTTCCTCATTGGTCTTCTCAGTTCCTTCTCCCCTTTGTTTCCACAGCAGCCAGTTACGCATGGAAACTACAATATAGATCACTTTTCTGCTCAGATCCCTTCACTGGCTCTCCAGTTCACTCAACCAAAGGCCACCTCCAAAGGTAACGTGTCTGCTACTAGATGACATCCCACAGTCTTCATCTCTTACTAGTCATGTGCTTACACGTGTTTCTTCTGCATAGACTTAGTGCTGGCCCATGTGACTGATAGAATACAGAAGTGGCGATGCATGACATTTAAGGTGAGGTCATTAAAGGCCTTGTGGTTTCTGCCTTGCTCTCTTGGGTTGGTTGCTGTGCATTAAGCCAGGCATGTTTGAGTCCTCAAACCAGAAGGTGAAACTAACTGCAGTGGTTCGGTACTCTAATCCCAATACTCAGGAGGCCAAGGCAAGCGGGTTAGGAATCTGAAGCCAGCCCAGTCTACATAGTAAGACCTTAATTCAAGAAAGAAAACAGACTATTGGCACAAGCCCGTAGTCTAGTCCTTGGAGGTAGAGGTGGAGGCAGGAAGACTAGGATTTCCAGATCACCCTTAGCTACCTAGGAAGCCAACCTGGGCTACATATCTCAAACCCCACCCAAAAGAGAGGAGAGAAGGAAAAGAATGAAGGGTGAGAAACTAGACGATCCAGCCCAATATCTGAACTAATAAGGAGAAAATGAGTTCTACCCTTTCCCATCTTTCTTCCCTGTGGACCAGCCAGTTGACACACCTAGCTGTCACTTTGAAGAGGCTACTTCAAGCCTAAGATTACTATGGCTACAATCTCTTGAGGACTGTTTGGCATGTAGCTCAATTGGTCGTACAGCACTTGCCCAGCATGCATGAAGCCCTGAGTTTGATCTCCAGCACCATGTAAACCTACTATGGTGGTACATACCTATAATTTCAGCACCTGGGAGGTTATCCTCAGCGACATAGTGAATTTAAAGCCAGCTTGGGATACATGAGACCCTTTCTTAAAAAAAAAAATAAATCAAGTTAGGTAGTGATGGCACACACCTTTAGTCCCAGCACTCAGGAGGCAGAGGCAGGTGGATCTCTGTAAGTTCGAGGCTAGCCTGGTCTACAGAGTGAGTTTCAGGACAGCCAGAGCTACACAGAGAAACAAACAAACAAACAAACAAACAAACAATAAATAATAAACAAATCCCCTGTCTTAGTTAAGGCTTCTGTTGCTGTGAAGAGACACCATGACCATGGCAACCTTATAAGGAAAATATTTCATTGAGGGGGCTTGCTTACAGTTTCAGAGCTTCAATCCATTATTATCATGGCAGGGAGCATGGTGGCAGGCCCACAGATGTGCTAGAGAGTCCTACATCTTGCAGGCAACAGGAAGTGCTCTTAGATCCTGGGTTCTAGGTATCTCAAGCATAGGAAACTTCAAAACCTGCTCCCACAGTGATACACTTCCTCCAGCAAAGCCACACCCACTCCAACAAAGCCACCCTTCCTAATAGTGTCACTGCCTATGAGATTGTGGGAGCCAATTACTTTCAAACTACCGCATCCCCTAAACAAAACCATCTAACCTATTGAAAACCAAAGCTAGAGCTAGCCAGATAAACCTTTCTCCTGAACTTGGGTGCATTGTTTGTTTTTCTTTTTCCTTTTGTATGTGAGTCAGACAACTTCAGATAATGTTTCTCAAGAGCTATGCTGATTAGATTTTTGTTCATTTGTCACAAGCTGAAGTCGTCTGGGAAGATAACCTCATTTGAAAAAAAACACCTCTATCATATTGACATATAGGCAAGTCTGTGTGGTATTTTCTTGATGAATGATGTTGGAGGGCCCAGCCCACTGTGAGTGGTGCCACCCCTAGGCAGATGGGCCTGGGTGGGATAAAAAAAAGCATATTGAGCAAGCCATGAAAACAAGCCAAAAAGCAAACATTCCTCTTAATGGCCTCTGCTTCAGTTCCTACCTCCAGAGTCCTGCCTCGAGTTCCTGGCTTGACTTCCTTCCATGATAAGCTGTAAACTGTAAGATGAAAAAAAGCCCCTTTCACCCCAAGTTGCTTTTGATCGTGTTGTCTATTACATCAGCAGAGAAGCAAACTAAGACAGGAGCTGCAGACCTGGCTCTGGAGCCAAGGACTCTTGTGTTGCCTGGAGCTCACTGTGTGTACCAGGCGGACTAGCCAGGGAGTCCACCTGTCTCCACCTCCGCAATGCCTGGCTTACAAGGCCGTGTGCTACCATGCCTATTTCCACCATAGGTTCTGGGTGTTCAAGTCAGGTCTTGATGCTTGTGAGGAAAGCACATTTCTTGAGCTATCCTTCCTCCCAGCCTTACAGCCTTACTTCTTTGTTTTTCAGATGCTAAGTTTTAGAGTGATTTACTAGTGTATTACACACAGGCAGATAACTAAAAGTTATCCACAGACCTCCTCCCTGCCATCCCCATGTCCTCTCCTCTCACCTTTTATTCCCTTAGCTTTCATGCTTCAGAGTCGTCACTGCCCATGCTGCCTGGAGCACTGTCTTCATGCCCAGTCTATCTATGGCTTGTCCTTCACCTCTCTTGTCATCTTTGCTTAGTTGTCACCTTCTCCAAAAGGCCTCCAGGGACCACCATGTTTAAAACGTGTAGCAGTGAGTCCCCAGGATTGTTCCCAAGAATTAAAATTATAATTGAGCCAACCAATTCTCTCATTCTCCTTTCCCCACCTCTATATTTTCTGTTCCAACAGCATCTATTATTTCCTTTTTAATTTTTTTTTTTGAGACAGGGCCTCTCTAAATAGTCCAGGCTGGCCTGAATTGCTATGTAGAACAGGCTGGCCTCAAACTCAGAGAGATTCTTCTGCCTTGGCCTCTCAAGTACTGGGACTAAAGGTATGTTCCACCATGATCAGCTATTTTTCCTTTTTAATATTTTTATGCTTAGTTTAAAAATAATAGAGTTCTTTTCATTTTTTTTAATTTTATTTTATTTTATTTTTTTTTGATTTTTGGAGACAGGGTTTCTCTGTACAGCCTTGGCTGTCCTGAAACAGGCTCTATAGACCAGACTGGCTTTGAATTCACAGTGATCCTCCTGCCTCTGCCTCCCAAGTGCTGGGATTAAAGGCATGTACCCCACAGCCTGGCTCAGAATAATAGATTTTATTGTGATATTTTCATACTTAAAATATCAGCTGTCTTGCTCATATTCCTCCCACTCTTTTCATCCATCGCCTGCATTTTCTGATGTACTATATAGTTATCTTACTCTTTTCTCTTCTTTTAAAAATATTTATTTTTATTTTTAATTATGTATATATGTAAATATCTCTGTTGGGGAGTATGTGCACGAGTGTAGATACTCAGAAAAGCCATAAGAGGACATCAGATCTATTGGAACTATAGTAGTTACAGACCTCCCAGCATGAACGCTGTGAATGCTGGGAATTGAACTGAGGTCCTCAGAAACAGCAGTACCTGCTCTTAACCATTGAAACATCTCTCCAGCTGTTTCTCTTGTTTTTGTTTTTGATAGAATATCTTTTATTGCTGGGTGGTGGTGGCACATGTCTTTAATCCCAGCCCTTGGGAGGCAGAGGCAGGTGGATCTCTGTGAGTTCGAGACCAACCTGGTCTATGGAGCGAGTTCCGGGACAGGCTTCAAAGCTACAGAGAAACCGTGTCTTGAAAAACCAAAAAAAAAAAAAAAAGATTATCTTTTATTTATTCTTTGACAATTTTATATATGTAAACAATAAATCTTGATCATATGCACCCAAATTCCCCTCTCCCTCTCCACATAGGAACTCCTACCTCCTTCCCACTTCTCCTTAGGCAGCCTCAACCTACCCCCCATTCCATGTCCTCTCTTCTTTTCTTGTTTTCTTATTTTATATGTATTAATGTTTTGCCTGCATGTATGTGCATCCCTGGTACTTTCAGGGGTCAGAATAAAGCACTGGATCCACTGGAACTGAATTTACAGGTGGTTGTAAACTGCCATGTGGGTTCTGGGAATTGAATCCAGGTCCTTTGGAAGAGCAGCCAGTGCTCTTAACCACTGAGTCATCTTTCAAGCCCTCATCTGTTTTATTTACTGTGTATTCCCTCCTTTTATCCCTGCTATAATAAAACCTTCAAGAACAAAAGGATCAGGAGCCAGGCATGGTCCTGTACTTCTGTAACCCCAGCATTTAAGAGGGTGCGGCAAAAAGCAAGAGTTTGAGGACAGCGCCACTCCATAGTCAAACCTTGTCTCAAATAAAGATAAAACAGGGACTGGAGAGATGGCTTACTGATTAAAAATGCTTTCTGTTTTTGCAGAGGACCTTCACTAAGTCCCCAGTGCTCACATAGTGATTGCAAACCATCTGTTAACTCCAGTTACTGGTGATCTGATGCCTACTCTCTGCCTGAATCATCAGGTAGTGTAAATGAACTCTTGCAGCCTCACATACAAATAAGAAAACAAGAAAGGAAGAAAGGAGAAAAAAACTACAAAGAGCAGAGGCCTTTCTGTTGTTCACAGATATAGCCCAAGTGCTCACAACAACATCTGATGTGGTTAAGTGTTCAGCAGATGTTTGTAGAATGCATAAACAAGCATTTCGTGACTAATTTAGACCCTTGGTAAATAGTGAGTTGTCCACTGGGAGATATAATGTCTAGGTTCTATGTCCAAGGACTCATAGAAATGCTAAATTAGAAAAAAATCTATTGAGGGCTTATTCTTACCTGTGCAAGGATATTTGCTTGGAATTTTCTAAGCTAAGGAAAATATTCGAGAAAATTATACAAGATCCAAGACTGCAACCAGTGAAAGCAGCAATGTTTAAGCTTAGGCATGATGGCACACACCTGTAATCTTAGTATTTATAAAGTGAAGACAGGAGGGCAAGAAGTTCAAGACCATCCATGGCTACATAGTGAGTTTCAAGCCAACCTGAGATGCTTGAGACCCAAACTCAAGACAAACAAACAAGAAACAGAAAATCAAAACCCTTCCAGTGGCCCTCTAAATGATTAAAACAGAAATTTAGTATGCTGCCACATAGGAGAAAAAAAATGAATGGCCTAAGAAGTCATAGGAAATTAGGAAAAGATAAAAGAATCAAGTACAAACAGAAGCATCTGCTTTGAGTAGGAGAAAGTACACTCCTTCCAAGACTAAAATGCATTGGATGCAGCTAAATAGAGGAGAATATTTGACAGGAGTCGCCACACTTGAGTGGCAACTAGGTTTCATTGAAAGCAAAATTCACACTGACCAGCTGAGGGTAGTCACAGTGGTTTAACATTGGAACTTTTTTGCAAGAAGTTTTAAGTTAGAGCCCAAATATAGTAGATCGAAAGCAGAACTCCCTTGATTGAAGGGGTGTGGGTGGGGTGAGTCCAGCCTTTGCCATTAGAACTATTGTCGTATGCGTTTTTACAGGAAGGGGTACATACCTGTCAAGGATCACACTGGTATGTCAGAGAGGATGGCCTTCCTGAAGATCATTTATGGTAATCAATTGGCAACTACTTGTAGCATCTGCTTTTCTACCCTCTGGAGACTTCCTTTCCTCCTTCCTTTCTTCCCTCCTCCTTTCTCCCCCATCCTGCCTTCCTTTACCCTCCCTCCCTTCTTCTCCTTTCTTTCCCTCCCTCCCTCCCTTCCTTCCTCTCTCTCTCCCCCCTCTCCTTCTATCCCCCCTCTTTTCTTTCTTAACAAGGTCTCCTACTGTAGGCTAGACTGGCTTGGAACTCCTGGAACTCCTCCCACTTCAACTTCCTGTAATGTGAGGTGTGGGCCAATCATTCTGAATTATCTCCTGAATTTTGCTCTGGTATGTCTATACCTGAACTTTCCCTCACTTCTTGCAGCTGTAATTTCCTGTCTGTGTAAATCCTAAGCTGACACTGTTGCTATCTCTATCTAGCCCTCCCTTTTCCTTCTCTGCCTTTATCTTCTAGGGACAGGGTCATAGTTTGGGGTGGGCTCAAAAGAGCACACAGTCATCTCAAACTAAGAGAACAGTCCATCCAAGCTTTCTTTTTTTTAAAAAAAAAAAAATTTATTTATGATTACACAGTGTTTAGTCTGCAGGCCAGAAGAGGGAGCCAGATCAAATGACAGATGGTTGCTGGGAATTGAACTCAGGACCTCTGGAAGATCAGCCAGTGCTCTTAACCTCTGAGACATCTCTCCAGCCCCCATCAAATTTTTCTATATACTAGTCCAGTCCTATGGCTATACACTGTCTCTGCAGTGTTCAAAGAGACAACAATCTCAACACAGTCAAGGTCAGGGAATTGTCCCTGTGAGTCTGGATTGGGGGAAGTAAAAAACTACTGGAGTTGAGGTCCAGGAGGGAAGCTGGCTTGTTGGAGGGTCACTATGAATAATCAGATGTGTGTTTAGATAGAAAGACTATGAACCAGAAGCCAGAGTACTGAACAGATTCATATCTTAAATGTAGATAATTGCAGTTAGTGCCTGCTGAATGTTTGTCACAGTCTATGTGTTCTTTTTGTTTTTTTTTTATTTTTAAATTTTTAATTTTATTATGTGACTGTGATTGTGTATGTATGATGTGTGAGCGTGGGTGTTTGTGTGCAGTGTTCTGGGTTTGGAGGTCAGAAGACAATTTTCACATGTTGATTCTCTCCTTCCACCTTGAAATCTGGGAATTGAACTCAGATTATCAGGCTTGCAAGGCAAATACATGCTTTTACCCCCAAGCTATTTTCTTGGCTCTCAGAATTTTAATAAAAGGGCTGAAGATGTAACTTTGTGATAAGTGCTTATCTAGCGCATACAAGATCCTGTGTTCAATCCTGGTGCCTGGATGAAGAGGGGGTAGGGAGAGAAATCCGACTGTCCCAGAATCAAATGGAAAGGACAGAAGAACTAAACTTCTCCCCAGAATCTAGCCCAGAGTGACTGAATATGAATCATGTCCTGGAACTAGAACTTTCCCAAAGATCTCCCAGTGCATCTGACTCACCACCAGGTTTCAGAATAACTGGTCTATAGATTAAAGCTCAAATCCATTCTAAGATGTGTGCACTCAGTTGTCTCTTCTCCAATGTGTGTGCTGGATCCCTATCTCCTAGTACCTTAGAATGTGACTGTATTTTGAGAAAGGGCCTTTGGAGAGGTATTTAAATTCAAGTGCAACTCTCAGGGTGGAACCTGCTAAAACCTTATTGCTGTCCTTATCATAGGACAGAAGACCATTAAAAGAAACATCAACTGGGCAGTGGTAGTACACACATTTAATCCCAGCACTTCAGAGGCTTAGGCAGGCAGATCTCTGTGAGTTCAAGCCCAGCCTGGTCTACAGAACTAGTTCTAGGACTACACAGAGAAACCCTGTCTCAAAAATCAAAACAAAACCAAAAAGCCCACAAACAACAGCAGCCTTACTTAGAACTTGCTCACACCTTGAGCTTAGAATTCATCCTTCAAAAACAACAAAAAGACTTTTAGCCTTCTGACCTGAGACCAAACAAAATTGCATCTGGTATATTTGTTATAGCAGCTCAAATGGACTAGGACAAATTTGTTGGAAGAGTTCCCTAGAGCCTCTGTCACTCTTTCCATCCTCCCTCCCACTCAGCCCTGTTAAAATCTGAATCGTCAGCTTCCTTCTTGAGTCAGCTCCCGTATTCTGGTCTGGAAGATGGTGTTAGCAAAGTATGCCCCTCGTGGGGTTACATGGAGAACAAACGCGATGTTTCTTAACATCCTTTTAATGATATCTAGTAAAGAAAGGCTCTCTCATGATTGCTATAGTGACCACGTCAGTGAGGTTTGGCAGTGGAGGAAGGAAGTTAGGCTCAGCTGCACGCATAGCAAGGAAGGACCGTAATTTGTAGCCAAGGGAAAGGCTAGGGGTCAGCAGATGGAAAACTACCAAGAGGAAATGCCAAATTCTAGGGGAATTTTTGCTGGAGGCAGGCCAGTGTGATGAGCACAGAATGAGGAAATTTGATCAGATACTGAGGGTGGTGGTTGATAGAAACTCAGGTGTTTAGAAAAACTGGACTAACTGGACTTAGGACACAACCCTGTGTCCGAGAGGCTTTGTCACTGTGTAGCACAATCAGCACATAGTGTGAGAACGGCGGGAGACCCAGGTGGTGGTAGTGCACGCCATTAATCCCAGCACTCAGGAGGTAGAGGCAGGCGGATCTCTGTGACTTTAAGGCTAGCCTGGTCTCAGAGCTAGTTCTGGGACAGCTAGAGCTGTTACACAGAGAAACCCTGTCACGAAAGAGAGAGAGAGAGAGAGAGAGAGAGAGAGAGAGAGAGAGAGAGAGAGAGAGAGAGAGAGAGAGAGAGAGAGAGAACAGAAGGCATTAACTGCCATTCCAGTGTACAAGGCTTTTTGTTCCATTTCTATGCCTTATTATGTTTTGTCTCACTGCTTCATTTACCTAATTCTTTGTTGTCCTTCAAGATGGAAGTTTAGCAAGTTAAGGTGCTGAACACCTATAATCTCATCATAGAAATATCAACAGTTCACAGCCACAGCCCAGATTAGTGGCACACGCACACCTTTGGTACTATTATTCAGGAAGCAAAGTCGAAAGTGGGTCTCTTAGTTCAAGGCCAGTCTGGTGCACAAAGTAAGTTCCAGAACAGTCAGAGCTACATAATGAGACCCTGCCTTGAAAAAAAAGCAGAACAATAAAAAAAGTGTCCATAGCCAGCCTTGGTTATATAGCAAGTTTGAGGCCAGCCTGGGCTACATGAGACTGTATATTAAAAAGCAAATTACTGCTGAAGTCTGGTGTAGCCTGCTTTGATCTGCATTCACGGCCTCTCTTGTTGCCTCCACCACAGAGAGAGAAGTCACTGCAGGGGTGGGCTTAGGTAGATGGGTGGTAGAGGGCTTTGGGTAGAGGGAACCTAACTTGAGAACATCCTGAATACTTGACATTCTTCTGTGTTTGGGATCAGAACATGAATAAAAAGAATACCTGGGGATGCAGATGTACTTTAGTTGGTAGAATGCTTGTACCAATGGCATATAAAGCAGGTATGAGCCATCTCAGAATCTCGGAGGTGGAGACAGGAAGACGAAAAGTTCAAGGCGAGCCTGGGCCATGTGAAACCTTGTCTCGTTAAACAACAACAAAACAAAACCAACTAAAGCCAAAGTGCTTTCCATGGGGCTGGAGAGATAGCTCAGCAGTTAAGAAGCACTTACTCCTCTTGTAGAGGACCTGAGTTTAGTTTCCAGAACTCACATAGTGACCTAACCATTTTAATGCCAGTCCCGGACGTTCTGGCTCCTTATTCTGGCCTCCATGGGCACTGCATGCACATTGTGCACATGCAAACACACAGACAAAACAAAACACTCAGAAACAAAAGGAAAAATTTAAAAATTGCTTGCCATGCAAGCTAGATGGGTTGAATTCAGTCCTCAATCTGACCTCCTAGTAGATGGAAAGGACTGACTTCCCCAATTGTCCTCTGGCCTAAACATACACACATGCACACACACATAATTTTTTCTAAAGTTTGGAGACTAGGTAAGATGCCTAGTTTCAGCCTTTGTGCTTCAGCCTCCTGAGTAACAGCACAGGTGTATACCACCAGACTTGGCTGGCTTATGGTAGAGTCAAGTTTTAGGAATACTTCTGTGGAGAAGAAAAACATCAAAAGAATTAATGGATTTATGCTTTGTTTGGTTGTATTTTATATTTTCTTTTTTTTGCGGTTGAGACAAGTTTCTCTGTGTAACCTTGGCTGGCTTGGAACTCAGTCTGTAGACCAGGCTGACCTTGAACTCACGGAGATCTGCTTGCTTCACACCTCCCAAGTGCTGGGATTAAAGGCCTGCGCCACAGCAGCCCACTTTGTATTTTATGTTTTCTTGAGACAAGCAGTGCTCTAATTTGTGATCTATCAGCCTCTGCCTTCTAAATACAAAGATTGTAGGCTTGGGCCATCAAAAGAATTTTAAATCAAAGTTGGCTTTTAGAAAATCACTATGGGGCTTCGGATATGACTCAATGATTAAGAGCACTGGTTGCTCTTCCAGAGGACCCAGGTTCAATTCCCAGCACCCACATGGCAGCTTACAACTGTCTGTACCTCCAGTTCCAGGGAATTTGACACCCTCATTCAGACATACATTCAGGCAAAAACACAAATGAACATGAAATAAAAATAATTAAAAATAAAAATTTCTTTAAAAAAATCACTATAAAACTGGGTGGTGCTGATGTAAACCTTTAATCCCAGCACTCAGGAGGCAGAGGCAGGTGGATCTCTGTGAGTTCGAGACCAGCCTGGTATACAAAGCAAGTTCCAGGACACATAAAGAAACTCTGTTTTGAGGAAGGAAGGAAGGAAGGAAGGAAGGAAGGAAGGAAGGAAGGAAGGAAGGAAGGAAGGAAGGAAGGAAGACAGAAAGAAAATCACTGTGGTAGCATAATATAATGAGAGTATCTAAGGGAAGAAATGGAAGGAACTTAGGAAACTATTGTAGTAACCCTGGAAACAAGGAAGTTCCCAGCAGACAGAGTAGCAATGTGTCTAGAAGGTGTGTTCTCAAGCTGAACCTGATGAAGCATTGTAAGTGGAGACTGCTTGTTTGTTTCCTGGCTGCTCAGACCCAAATAATCACACAAGAACTATTAATTACAGCACTCTAGGCCAAAAGCTTAGGCGTATTTCTAGCTAACTCTTACATCTTAAATTAACCCATTTCTATTAATCTATGTATCGGCATGAGGCTGTGGCTTACTGGTAAGGATCCGGAGTCTGTCTCCTTCAGCAGCTACATTGCATCTCTATCTATCTATCTATCTATCTACCTACCTACCTACCTACCTACCTACCTACCTACCTATGTTCAGATTTCCCACCTGGCTTTGCTCTGCTAAGCCATTGCCTGAAAGAGCATTATTTATTAACTAATGGTAATAAAACATATTCACAGCATACAAAGGAGAACCCCACATCAAAACATGCTACAATTCCAGTACTTGGCAGCCTATGGCAAAAGGATGGTAAATTTAAGGCCAACCTGAGTTATATATTAAGTTCCAGGTCAGCCTGGGCTATGTAGCAAGACTCTGTTTCAAAAACGAATAAGCAAAAAATACCTTAATAGTGAAAAAGAAAACAACTTAATTACAAAATGTATGAGAGGAATAAGAATGTCAGAGCGACCTTATTGCTTGTGCTTAAGTTGGCCACTCTGTCTAAGTTAGTTTGAAAAACACTTCAGAAAAACAGAGAGTATGCGACAAGGACCATCTGGCTGTAGCTGATAATAATTGGAATGCTGCTGCCTCAAGGATAGCCAGGAATGGGCCAATCAAAAGCATGCTCATACTATGCTCCAGTTAGTACCCCAGGGGCAGCTAGGAGTGTACCATTTCGAGCCCTACTCTTACCCATACCTCATTTGCATGATGACATTCTTCCCTTTGAATTTCCCGCCCTTTGTAACAGTTTTCTGTTCCCAATTAGGTCTGTGCATGAAAATTAGGTGAAAGTTGGTGGACCTACTAGTTTTGCCTCTAAAAACCCAGAAGGGGAGCTCCTCCTGCCCTCACTGTGTTGAGTGTGCTGGACAAGTTCCTTGCCTGGCTTCTATCATGCTTACTTCGGAATAAACCTTGCTCTTGCATCCAAGTTTCTGGTCCTGGTGGCCTCTCTGGGGGTTGAGGGTCTGGGCACAACATGTAAAAGATGCCCAAATAGAAGTTTCTCAAAAGAAGACAGAAGAATGACTAAAGGCACTTGGGAAGCAGAGACAGGACAGTTTTTGTGAGGTTGACTCTAGCCTGGTCTACATAGTGAATTCCAGGATAGCCAGGGCTTCATAGTAAACATGGCTAAAACATGTCTAAAAGTAGGTGGGAAATCTACATTCCACTAATCATCAGAAAAATGCAATCAGAACCATAATGAGATATCACCTCATACCCATAAGAATGGTTGTTTTAAAAAATATCCAGGGCTAGATCTGGGGCTTAGTTGAGTGCTTGCTTTGTATGCCAAACACCTTGGATTCAGTCTCTGGCATTTAATAAAACTGAGCAGTAGTGGCACACGCCTTTAATTCCAGCACTCAGGAGGCAGAGGCAAGAGGATCATTGTGAGTTCGAGTCCAGCCTGGTCTACAGAGTGAGTTCCAGGACAGAGAAACCCTGTCTTGAAAAACAAAACAAACAAACAAAACTGGGCATGGTGACACATGCCAGTAATGCCAGCACTGGAGTAGGCATGAGAATCAGGAGTTCAATGTTATCCTCAGTTACATAGTGAGCCTGAGGCTAGCCAAAGATACTTGAGACCAAGTCTTAAAAGAAATCCAGTTTAACAGTCAATGATGGGAATGTAGAGAAAAGAGAATCTTTGTACACGGTTGGTATAAATGTTTACTAGCACAGTCATTGAGGAAAACCAAATGGAGGCATGGACACTTATTCCTGTAATGCCAGCATTACTTGGGTTCTTGTTGGTTTTATTTCTTTTGAGATAAAGTTTCATATAGACCAGGGTGGCATCTAATGTGAATTCAATATGTAACCGTTAATGAACTTGAACTCGTGATCCTTCTGCCTCTGCCTCCCAAGGGCTGGGATTCCAGGCATGTGTCACCATTCCCTGCCTAATACATGGTACTGCTATAAAAGTAAATCAGCTGGGCACAATTGGCCATGCTTATAATTCCAGAACTTGGGAATTGTGTGAGGCAAGAGGATCAGAATTTCGAGGTACTCCTCAATACATAGAAAGTTTGAGGCTAGCCTGGGTTACATAAAACTATCTTTAAAGAAGCAAAAATAAGCCAAGCATAGTAGCACAAGCCTTTAAACCCAGCATTCAGGGGCAGAGACAAACAGAACTCTTGAGTTTGAGGCCAGCCTGGGCTACATAGTGAGTTCAAGGACAGCCAGAGCTACATAATAGAAAACCATGGTCTCAAAATATTGAGAATAATAATAATTGCCAGAAAGTTTATATAAATTGTCTTTAATTCTAATTAATTTTTCCATTTTACTTACCCCACTGAATTTTACCTTAATGTAACATGATCTTATGCTTTAAAAATGTATGGATTGAATATTTATATGTTGAAGCCATAATTACCACTGGCTGCTAGGATATAAGGCCTTTGGGAAATAATTAGGTTTAAATGAGAGATCTGAGAGTGTGTGTCTTTTGTTGGGATTAGTGCCCTTGTACAAAGAGATCTTCGCAGGCATCCTGATGTGGGGAACCAAAGACCTAACAACTTCACATGCATGTACTGGAATGTTGGGGATTTTCCATCTCCCTGTGTCCTTGTGGATATTCTCCAGATAGAACTCAGTTATTGGAATCAGAGCAAGATAACCCTTAGATGTTGACTCAGTTCCTTGGACTTGGTCAGGGGATATTGATTCAGTTCCTCAGATACGGTTAGGATGAAAAACAACCCCCAGATTCCCCCCTTGTTTCTGTGGCTTTTTACTTTAAAAAGCCTGTACCAGCTATTTGGGGACTTTCTGGCTTCTCAAATGCTGAAAGACTCTGTCGCAACAGAATTAATTAAATCCTCTTGCTTTTACATCAACTGTGGTATGAGAATGGTCTCTTGGGGTAACTCCTCCTTGGTGATTGGACTTCTGGGTCCAACATAAGAAAATAACTTGCCTTTGTTCCAGTTAGCCAGTCTATAATATTTTGTTAAGGCAACTAGAGTGAGGGTGGCTGTTGCTGATTGCTTCTCATATTTCTTTTCAGAAAAAAAAAATGAACCTAAAGCTATTCTTGAGAACATCGTGGTAACACACACCTGGAATTTCAACACTTGGGATGTGACCACAAGAGGATCAGGAATTCAAGGTCATCATCAACTGCCCTGTGAGTTCAATACTAACCTGGACTATATTAGATATAGAAAGTGTTAGCAAACATTAGTTTTAATTTTTTTTTTTTTGCTTTTTCGAGACAGTGTTTCTCTGTTCCTTTGGAGCCTGTCCTGGCACTAGCTCTTGTAGACCAGGCTGGTCTCGAACTCACAGATATCCGCCTGCCTCTGCCTCCAAAGTGCTGGGATGAGTTTTAATTTTTAAACATTTTTTTTCTTTCACATATGAATGGGTGAATACTTCTTTTGCTTAGAATATGACAGAGTTTAGCATCAATTCTATTCATACTTTTTAAAGGGTATGTGTGAGTGTGTTTGTGTGTGTGTGTGTGTGTGAATACGTGTATTTATAAAGGGGCACTGTATTTCTTGAAGCTGGGCCAGTGGTCAACTGCCACATGTGGTTGGTGAGATCTGAACTCTGAGAAACCAGTAAGTGCTCTTATTTTTTTCAAAATAGGGCCTCACTATGTAGTCCTGGCTGTCCTGGAACTAGCTCTGTAGATCAGGCTGGTCTCGAACTCACAGAGATCCATCTGCTTCTGCCTCCCGAGTACTGGAATTAAAGGTGTGCACTACTATGTATGGCTTTTTAAGTGTGCTTAACCACTGCTCTCAGCCTTGTTTCTTTCTCTGTTTTTATTTTTCACCTTTTAAAGATTTATTTATTTCTATTTTATGAGTATTATGTTTTGCCTGCATATATGTCTGTGTGAGGGTTTCTGGTCCCCTGGAACTGGAGCTACAGACAGTTTTTTTCTTTTCTTTTCTTTTTTTGTTTGTTTTTGTTTTTTTGCGACATGGTTTTTCTGTAGCTTTGGAGCCTGTCCTGGAACTAGCTCTTGTAGACCAGGCTGGCTTCAAAGTCACCCTTTGTCTCCCAAGTGCTGGGATTAAAGGCATGAGTCACCACCACCCGGCACTATAGACAGTTTTGAACTGCCATGTGGGTTCTGGAAATTGAACCCAGGACCTCTGGAAGAGGAGTCAGTGTTCTTAACCACTGAACCATCTCTCCAGTCCTCTTTTTATTTTTTTTAAATTATTATATGTGCTATGAGTGTTTACCTAGATGTATGTCTGTGGACCACATGCGTGCCTGTTACCTGTGGAGAACAGAGGTGGACCTTGGATCCCCTCAACTGAAGTTACAGGTGGTTGTGAGCTGCATATGGGTGCTGGAACTAGAACCTGGGTCCTCTGGAAGAGCAGCCAGTGCTCTTAACCACTGAACCTTCTTCCAACTCCCACCTTTGTTTCTATTTTTTAAAGATTTACTTACTTACTATACTTTGGGGGCTTGTCTGCATCTTATGATGTGTCAGATTCCCTGGTACTTGAATTTCAGACAGTAATTCCTTGTGGGTGGTAGGAATTGAACCTGGGTCCTCTGGAAGAGCAGTCAGTAATCTCAACCCCTGAGCCATCTTTCCAGCCCCATTGTTTCTATTTTTACAGACATAATACATCAAGAGACCTGTTCAAACACATAAGAAAATGGGAATAGAGTATTGTAAAGTAAATGCAATTTAATTACTTGAACTTTTCTACAGTCTTCTGGCAAAAAGAAAACACAAAAGACACGTAGTGACATATCAGAAATGATATTTTGTGATCTATTTGATTGGACTTTCTTTTAAGTTTGTTGAAAGGAAATAATTGGAAACCACTGAAACTGAAAAATATTTTTCTCTCACTACCTAGAGTTTTTTTTTCAGTTTCTAGGAATTATCAATAAGCTTATTAAAAGTTAGTTAGAAGTTAGTTAATTCACTTGATATATTCAAATAGTCTTGGAAGGTAAACTATTGTTAATTTGAAACGATGTTTACCAGTGTAGAGTTTAAAATTAAATGTTCCTATCTTCTCTTGTGCTTTGAATATGTTTTCATTAGTGTCTCAGAACTGCTTGTTTGCATTCATTAATTTATGGAGATAGTGTCCCATATAATCTCGTTGGCAGAATCAGTCCTACTGTTGAAGAAGATCCTGTCAAGTGAGATTTACATTGGTTTTACATAGAAACGGACTTACTTTCAATTCAAATGAAAGCATATTAATATAGTCTTTGTAAACAACTATCATTATCTCATTTACAAAGTCTATTTTTCTTAAATTTTACTTATTTTTAAATTAATTTGAAAAATTGTGTTTTATTTATTTTATGCATGAGTGTTTGGTCTCTATGTCTATACACCATGTACATGCATAGCCTATGGGGGTCAGATGAAGACATGGCGTCCCCTGGAAATGGGGTTACAGAAAGTTACTTGCTGCCATGTAAGTCCTGGGAATAAAACCTGGGTCCTATGGAAGCACAACCAGTGCTCTTAACAGCTGAGCCATCTTTCTAGCTCCAAGATTAATTTTTTCAAAGATTTTTTTTACAAGATTTATCTATTTATTATGTATATAGTGTTCTGTCTGCATGTTTGCCTACACGCCAGAAGAAGGCATCAGATCTTAATATAGATGGTTGTGAGCAACCACATGGTTGCTGGGAATTGAACTCAGGGCCTCTGGAAGAACAAACAATGCTCTTAACCTCTGAGCCATCTCTCCAGCCCTTTAAAAGATATTTTTCAGAGTTTCACTATGGAGCTCTAGCTGGCCTGAAACTTGCTATGAAGACCAAGCTGGCCTCAAACTCACAGCTATTCACCTTCCTCTGCCTCTCAAGTGCTGTGATTAAAAGCATGCACCATCATTCCTGGCCTTTAAGATTTGTATTTGTTTGTGTGTATATGAGTGCACTCACAGAAGACAGAGAAGTGTCAGATCCCTTGGAGCTGGCGTTTCAGGAGGTTGTGAGCCCCTGACATGGGTGTTGGGAAGCAAACTTTGGTTCTCTGGAAGAGTAGCAAGCACACATAACTGATTAGCCGTTTCTCTCGTGCTCTCCCTCCCTCCGTCCCTCCCTCCCTCCGTCCCTCCCTCCGCCCCTCCCTCCCTCCCTCCCTCCCTCCCTCCCTCCCTCTCTTTCCTTTTTTCATGTGTGCATAAGTGCCATGTCTTATGGAGGTCAGAGCAAAGCTTTCAGAGGCCAGTTTTTTTCTTCAACTGCGTGGGTCCTAGGGATGGAACTCAGGTTGTCAAGTTTGATGGCAGGTACCTTTGTTTGCCTAAGCAGTTTTCCTGGCTCTCATTTCTGAAGTCTAAGACAGACGTGGCATAGTCTTGCCATGAAATTGTTGCCTAGAATAAGGCTCTGCCACCTTCAGTATTTCTTACTCAAACTCTCTTTACTTTTCCTTTTCCCCGTGGGAACAGGAACAGAGAAAGACACAACACTATGGCTGTGGAGAGGCTTTCTTGGCATCAGTACTATTTGTCCATTATCCCTTTGATATGTTATTGTGAAACATTTTAAACAACTGGAGAAGTTGATAGGGTGGCCTTGAACTCTTGAGCCTTTTGCCTCTTGTTTGCAAATGCTGGGATTAAGGACGTTGGCCCTAGACCTGACAACATGTACACTTTTCACGTCAATATATTGATTGGCTCCTTTGTTTGTCAGAGGCTTTCTTTCTGCTTCAAGTGTGATTTAAGAGGTTTAACATGATTCAGCTTGTGGGGTAAAGATGCAGGCACACTTGTGAAAAGAAGGATGGAACAGGAAAACTGAGAAGGAGGACACCACACAGGTACTCTTCAGGTGTTTCAGCGTCAGGCATGAGTAAACATGAAAAAGGGGGGTCTGAGATAGAGCTCAGCTGGTAGAACACTTACCTAGGATACACAGTGTACTGGCTTCTATGCCCAGTACCATAGAAAACCCTGCACAGCAGCACCTGCCTATTAGTCATTCTCACCTATGTAGCTAGTTCAAGGTCAGCCTGTGCTATGCGAAACTGTCTTCAAACAAATAAAAGCCCTGCCAGAGTAGACATGGAAATTGAGGATATGGAAAAAGTCCCTTAAAGTTATCTATATTTGCTTTGGTATGTTGGTTTGCTTGCTTGCTTACTTACTTTTGTTATTGGCCTGTGAAACAGAGCCTACCATCCCAGGCTGGCCTTGAACTCACTATATACATACTCCAGGATAACCAGGGGCATCTGATCTTCCTGTCTCCACTTCCCAAGTGTTGGAACTGCCAGTGTTTGCCATCATACCCATATTTTGTTTTTTTTATATTTATTAATTTTGCATACTCGGCGTTCAGAGAACAACTTGTTGTAGACTGTTCTCTCCTTTCTCTGTGTCAGATTCAGGGCTGGGACTCAGACTGTCAGGCCTGCCAGCAGTCACCCATTACTTGTGGAAGGAACCAACTTCCCAGCACCAGTTTTATGCAGTTTGGGACATTGAGTGGATGGCCTTGTGCATTCTAGGTGTGCATTGTGCCAACTGAGCTGCATCCCCAGTTAAGTTTTTTTTTCTTTTTTTTTTTTAGGTAGGGTCTCATGTAAACACTCTAGACTTGAACTATGTAACTGCGACTGTCTTTCAATTCCTATCCATCTCCTGCTCCTTAGTGATAGGAATATTGATATGTGTCATTATACTAGGCTAAGCCATGTATATACTTGAACACCTCAGAAAGTCTTCATATACCCATAAGGAATATTTAAGAATATACCTCAGACTTTAAGTCCCTAGTCTTGAATAAGATAAACTGTAAACTGTAAAAGAAAAAAAATAGTTATAGATTTGACTGCATTAAAATTTTAAAATTCTGCATAAGAAAGATACATAAAGTAAGAAGACAAGATATTTACAACATGTTAGAGATTTACGATTAGCAACCAGAATAAGAGCTTCAAAAAAATAAAAATGTTAAAAGACAAACAACCCAAGCAAAAGTGAGCAAATGTATGGGTAGAAAATATACAGAATGAAATATGCCTGCCAAAAAATGTGTTCAGGCTTACTAGTAAGCAGGGAAATGTGAATTAAAACAATAAACCGAAGAGAAATGAAAGTATACACCCAGAAATAATGACATCATGGGCCAGCCAGATAGCTCAGTGGGTAAAGGAGCTGCCAATCC